TAGTGGAGGCCATCACTTTGATGTACCAGTCCCAAGGCTAGCCGTGCCCCCTCGGAGTGAGGTCTCATTCCTCTCATGCTTCCTCCTGGGCGTTGGCGTGGTACCTCTCTGGCAGACATCTGCAGAACTGCAGGCTGGGGGACACCGAACACCTTTGAGAGATTCTACAATCTCCATGTTGAGCTGGTTTCTTCCCGTGTGTTGGGTAAAACCCACAACGTGTAGGAAAACTGGCTCTGTGTCTCGCTTGCAGTGCCATTCCCTTCTAGTGGGGGGATACGGGAGCCTACTTTGCTCTTCAAGTGAGTTCCCCACTTGGCAAACCCTGACTTGAGTTCCTTTAGCATACTGCAGAGGCGTCTGACGTCAGGCCCAGTGCTTGTGTGCATGCCTGGCCTGTCAGTCCTTGAACTGGGCTAGATGCCCATATGCTGTGATTTCCCCTTGGTAATCCCATGTCTGCACTTTCACAGTACCGTTTCCCTGTTGGTAAACCCGTGTCTTTCCCTGGGCATTTTCTGCTCTGCTCTGCCCTGTCTCTGCATCTGTAGTAGCTCCATCCCTGGGTAGGCAGGACCTACAGCAGAGATCTTCCATATGTAGCATTGCCTCACAACTGTGTGAGGGTTCAGAAGCCGTGCCGCTTTTCATGGGGACCCCAATACGTCATCGACGTAGCGTTGAACGTGACTGAATGGGAACGTCTTGGTTACTAATGTAACCCTATATTGTTATTAGGTGTTAGATGTTATTATGTTATAATGTAATGTTCCCTGAAGGTGGGAAATATTTTTTTTTTTACATCATTACATTGCCGTATAAAAAACAAATGGATAGGGGAAAAATCCGGGAAAAAACATTGATATTTTATGGCATGTCCTATGAAGAGGACACCAGGACTCAGTTAAGAAGAAAATGAAAACAAGACTCTATAACAAATAACAATATTTTCAGGACTTCGACAGCTCCTGGAAACGTCCACCTGAACCAAACTACAGTATGCACAAAGACTTTTACAAAGATTCTCAACTGTGGTATGAAAGATATTAGAGAATGATTTGATATATTTTACTTTATGTTACTTTATGTTATATGTGTAAACATGGCCAAAAATGTTTTTTTTTTTTTTTTCCATTATATAAAATGTATATATTCATTGTCTCTAATTTGCATTTTAATGTGTTCTTTGGGCAACATGTAATGAAAAAATAAGTAGCTATAAAAATAAGGGTAATAACTTGCCAACATTTTAATAATAGCGCATATTTCATAGAAATATTGATTATATATAATATAATTTCTTCCCTATTTACAATTCGTCTCCTAAAGTGCCTGATAAACATGCAGAAAGTCCTGGTGTCTCATAACAGAAAGTCATATTCTGATTTGAACTAAAGTTGTCTTGAGATGTTAATGTACGAAAACAATGTGAAAACAAGTTAGATTTAAAATGACAAAATATTCTCATATTGCCATAAGAGTGCTAAATTTCGTTATTCAGTCAATGTCAGTCATATTTAAAGACCAAGGAGAGGGAATTGCCATGGTGAAACCTCCAAACATTTAGTATCTCTGAAAAGACATCCCTACTTAAAACAGTGTCTTATATGGTCTCAAAGAAATTTGCTAAAATATAATGTACAGAGGAAAAAACTCCATTGCTGGGTCTCAGGAGGATATGAGAAGACTCTTTGACAGCGGGAAGGGCCTTGCCTCAAAATGAAAGGTGAATGATGCAACATAACGCCAGCAAGGGCCGCTCATAATTCGTTACGTAAATAATAACCAGTTAATTTGGCTGAAATGCATAATACATGGAACTATTTTGATTGTTTATGTTGGTGTAGGATGGTTGCTAAGGATGTTGCAGGGATACACGAAGTGGTCATAGCCATGCTTTATTATAAATAAAACACAGCTATCGACCAATCAGAATCAAAGACTGGAACTAACCGTTTTATAATGTTAGCTAATGCATTAATTTACATTAAATAATGAAACCTTATTGTAGTTAACAAAATAATATTATTAAGCAATTAAATATAACCATAATTACTTTTAAATGTAACAAGTATTTTTTACAATGTGTATTTAAATGGAACAAACAGTGCGGATTACATGTAATCAGATTATTATACGTGTTAAAATACTTCTTACTATTTACTTTTCTTATTGATTACATGTTATTCTAACAATGGCAGTAAATTATTCATAATTCATTGATTGTTTTTTTTTTTATCTTTAAAATGTTCCTTTCTGTTAAAGTCTACTGCTTATATATGTTCAGAAGGTCTTCCAGATTTGTGGAATTGCACACACAGACCAGACACTAGTCTTGAGCCGATCATTGATAACTGAGACACACACATCATTTCACATTTAAGAGGAGTTTTCTCAACATTTCAACCTCAGGGAAATCATTGGTTGTTTAATATATATATATATATATATATATATATATATATTTGCTGTGATAATATGTCCCATATAGTGTAGCTTTAAATATTAATCATATTTTTAAACTTTACTGTTTTTTTTAAATAATAAAGATTATACCCTTAGTTCCCCCCCAAGTAAATGTTAACATTTACTGCATTTTAATGTAGCCTATTTGATTACATCAAGTAAGGTCAACCCCATTGATCCATTAGGCCTTCATTTATGTCTTGTAATATACAAAACTATTAATACTACACCATATTTTAGAAACTTAGCCTACTATTTGTCTTGACAAATGATAAAACACTTAATTGTGGACATTACTTCCACTCAACCAACAGAAAGGCAAATCTCATGATCCCTAAAAAAAGCAACAGGGTTAAACCTGTATGTATATAATTTTCGATATTTAGAGTATCAAAGAAGCTTTTGACCACAAATACAAAAGTACCACTTGACAGATTAAACAATACATTCAATTTATTTGGACGCTCAATTCAAGATTACACAAACACTATGGAAAAAGTAAGTGTTCATGTAAATCAAGATGAACCGATGGGCTATGAATGGGGCATTTTTAGGTTATGCTTGTAAAATATTCATGACTTGAAACTTTATCTTGTAAGGATAGGGACAAGACTTTATCATAAAAGGTATCATAAGCAAGATTAGGGAATATCATGACAGTTGGCACAACAAGACTGTTTACAATTTTGCCAAGACTTTTTTTTTAAAAAGTGTGCATTGTTAATCTGCGTAATGAATGAGAAAATGCCAGAGAGGTAATGGATGCCCGCCACATAGCAGATGAATAATTGAGCGTCTGGGGGAACAGGAGAGGTGGATGAGATCGGATGGTGCATCTGTGTCACTGCACTGCCAGGCTTCTCTTCGCCACGTCACCCAGACACAGAAGAAGAACAGGTGTTTCAATGCCATGCATTTATTCACCAAACCAATTGGAGCTGGGGAATTCAGTGGTGCTCGTATAAAATGATTTCATAAGATTTTTTGTTTTTTGCTTGGACTCATTTGTATTAAAATTTCTTCTAATATTGAGTTTGCAAATCATCGGTTTGACTTTGGTATCAACCGAACAACAGCTAGCTTCATGAATCTCTATATTGAATAGAGCAGTTAAAGAGTTTGTGTGTCCTACTCTCATTGTTCGGGCTGTTGACAGGGCAGGAGAGCGGCTCTCAGACGCCACAGCCGATGAAGATTAGGGGTCAGCCAAGGTGAAAGCTCCTGCCATCGACTGCGACCATCAACTTTCCTCATTTCCTTTTTTATAGGGCAATATATATATGCTCATTTTAACAAAATGCAGATTTTTTGTTTAGTACTGTCCTGAATAAGATATTTTATATAAAAGATATAGTCCACAAGACAAAAAAAAATATAGCTGCATTTATAAAAATGACCCCATTCAAAAGTTTACATAACCCTGATAATTAATACTGTGTCGTTACCTGGATGATCTATGGCTGGTTTTTGTTTTGTGATGGTTGTTCTTGAGTCCCTTGTTTGTTCTGAGCAGTTAAACTGCCCAATGTTCTTCAGACAAACCCTTCAGGTCCTGCAAATTCTTCAATTTTCCAGCAGCTTTTGCATATTTGAACCCCGTCCAGCAGTGACTGTATGCTTTTGAGATCCATCTTTTCACACTGAGGACAACTGAGGGACTCAAACACAACTAATAAAACAGTTCAAACATTTACTGATGCTCCAGGAGGAACACAATGCATTAAGCATTAAACTTTTGAACAGGATGAAGATGTCCGCAGTAAATAGAATATATACCTTGATCTTCAAATTCAAAAAGTTTAATTCAAAACCCCCGGCTCATATATACATTTAGTATTTTACTAATATTCTACACAGCATAGGCCTATTTCTATACAATAAATGGAAATAATGTAAGCTGAAAATTATTGGTCTTCCTGCGCATTAAAATAGACAAAAATGTTCAATAATTATCCATTACATTTGATGTACTGTGAAATTACAAGTTCAGGAGATACAATATTGGCAATACAAAACCACAAATTACCTAATTATTATTATTGTGAAATTTATAAAACTAAGTTTAAGAACTGTTTTTCCATTTTTAAAATCACAAATAATAATAATAATATTATAACATATATAATGCATTTAACATTGTTATTATATATATAGTTATCGCAAATGAATAATACAAATTAATAACAATAACATTTAATTATCAATTCCGTTTACATTTTAAACAAAGTACATTAACATGAAATGAAAATAAATTACAATAAACATATTGACATAAATTTCATGTCAATTAAATAGGAAAAATAAAATAATTGAAAATAAATTAAAGAAGATAAAAAATATTATCAATAATAGTAGTCGTATCATTTTTTTTTTTTTTATCACTTCGCTGATGAGTTAAACTATTGAAATACTGGCTAACATTTTTCATGTGGTAAGTATCCAGAAGCTTACGCTTTCTTGTAAATTGAATAGAGGAACAGGTGGAGGCGGGAGGGCGGTGTGTGTGAGGAGTGTGTGTGCGTGTGTGTAGAGCCCGGGAGGCGCTGCCAATGGAAACCGCACACACGAGGAGCGTCGAGCCAGAGCGCCGCGTCGCCTCCATGTCAGGTCCACTCACCTGCAAGGTGCGCACCGAAGATGATGGCCATGAACGGCAAGCAGCACTTCTCCATGCACCCTGCGCTGCACCCGAGCTCCGAGGGCATGCGGCGGGTGTGTCTACCTGCCCCGCAGGTACGTCTCGCGCTAAACTCCTCGTATTGTCTCCATTCTGTCACTTTGAGGTGTTTTGAGTTGCTCCAGCTTCCATCCCTCCCTCTCCAGCCTCTCCTTTCTTTCCCCCTGACTCCCTCTCTCCCTCACCCACATGCCTATCCAAGCAAAGCTGCTGCTTTCATATTAATTTTTATGACCTGTGCTTTTGAGGAGGGTGCTTGGGAATGTTCTTTAATCCAGAGTTGACACAATTCCCCACTGACTTCCATATGCGCGCTCTTCCCTGCAGCTCCAGGGCAATATATTCAGCGGCTTTGATGAGAGTCTGCTGGCCCGCGCTGAAGCTCTGGCAGCGGCTGACCTGGTGTCTCACAGTCACGGCAAGAGTCACCCTTTCAAGACGGACGTCACCTACCATACCATGAGCAGCGTGCCCTGCACCTCTTCTTCGTCCACAGTGCCCATATCCCACCCGTCATCCAACCTGCCCTCGCACCACCACCACCACCACCACCTCAGCCACCAGACCCTGGAGGGGGATCTGCTCGACCACATTTCCTCGAGTTTATCGGTCAGCGGCATGGGTGCGCCGCCGGAGATGAGCACTCAAGCCCACCAGCACCACCTGCAAATGGGTCACTTACACCAAGCCATGGCCATGGGCCACCCGCACGCCCTGTCGGTCCACAACGGGATGGCGTGCGTCAACGACGTGGAGTCCGATCCCAGAGAGCTGGAGGCGTTCGCGGAGAGGTTCAAGCAGCGGAGGATAAAGCTCGGAGTGACCCAGGCTGATGTGGGCTCTGCCCTCGCCAACCTCAAGATACCGGGGGTCGGCTCGCTGAGCCAGAGCACCATCTGCAGGTTCGAGTCCCTAACGCTTTCCCACAACAACATGATCGCCCTCAAACCCGTTCTCCAAGCCTGGCTGGAGGAGGCTGAAGCGGCTTACCGGGAGAAAAACGGGAAACCGGACCTTTTTAACGGGAACGAGAGGAAACGAAAGCGAACGTCCATCGCGGCTCCGGAGAAGCGATCGCTCGAGGCGTATTTCGCCATCCAACCGCGACCGTCGTCGGAGAAAATCGCGGCAATCGCGGAGAAGTTGGATCTAAAGAAGAACGTGGTTCGGGTTTGGTTCTGCAATCAACGGCAAAAACAGAAACGGATGAAATATTCAGCAGTGCACTAATGCTGTTAGAGCAAAGGAGACATTTTAGGAACACCACAGGGATCTAAATTTCTTCTTTTAAGCATTATACGCCTATAAAGACATTTCATATTGCCTCCAATTGATGTAACCAGTGTGCGAATTAATCCATGGGGTCTGTACCTATAAGCTCGACTCCCCCTCACAGTTCAAAACACACGGTTTCTGTGTAAAGGATCTGCATTTTTACTTTTCAGTTTAACCTCAAAAGTTACAGCAATTTGGTTTGTGCGAGGTCGAGAAACCTCAACCCGAATGTTAGTGAAATGCTTCAATCCACCGAAGGCCAGTGAATAATTCGCACACTTTGACCTTTTAAACAAACTTGAAATTATATTAATTAATCTGTGATCACAGTTTACATTACAGAGTTCATGTTACTTTGTATTTAGCTATACGAGCAACTTAGTACAACTAATGAAAAACATGGAGCACTTAATGTGTAATTATTTTATGAAGCTGATTGTGATTACACGTCGTTATGGTTATAAAGCAACATGCACTGTGTAACATGGGCATCGTAATGTATTTTTTATTTTAGTAAATCAAAATAAATATTAATTTACCACTACATTATAAAGCAATACTGTTTAATCCTTAAAAGCTTTGATTTGAAATAACCAAACTCTGAATACATTTATAGGAGACTAACTGAACGGCTACTAAAAAACTTTGTTTCAGTATTATCACACGTGAAATTATATTTTGAAGTGTGTACGTGTGTTTTTGGTATTTAAAGACTTATTTATATTAATATACGAATTGCGCACAAGTTACGATAGTAGGCTATCACATGAAATGTCCATTGAAATTTGTGTATAGCGTTTGTAATATTCGTTTGAATGTCTTGTCAGATGTGACTGCATACATGGTGGAAATCACGTTCTCACAAAATGTCACTAAATATATATTTTATATTTATATTTTTCGATCATCAGTCGAAGGGATCCTAATATGCAAAAACTGATGGTGTAAAGAATGCTGCTATTTGATTTGCATTAATGTAGCCACTGCAATCACTCTCACTTTAAACTCCACTTTACAAAATGTGTGACTTTGAATGTTATTTAATAAATTGTTGATTTTTTTCAAAACCTCTGTGGACTTTTTTATTATTATTTTTAATTACACATAAAATAAATACATTAATAAAAAACAGGACAACGTGTCTTCTGGTTTCGTATCACGTCATAGGAGAAAAGAAATAAAAAACAATACTGTATTTTTTATAAATATATGCACCATTTTCATCTTACATAAACAATATACAACGAAAGCAACTCGCGTCAAAATCCTTGTAATATCATTAATTTTTAAGACATGCGTTGTTTTATTAATAAGCTTCAGTTCAATTGTGATTAAACATCAATGAAATAATATAGACCAATCACCACCTAATTTAAAGAATATTATAGAGAGAACAAAAAGAAAAATTCAAGCCAACGTTAACTAGGCTATTTTACCCTTTTCTATCTCTGGTTTTCCAACTTTAAGAATGAGACACCGCTGAATAATAAATGTCTGTCACGGCTTTTGTGCAGAGTGGGATTTGAAATTATTAAGTAATGGCGATGCAATATTAATTGTATATTGGTATAAAACAGGCAGAGAGCTGAAGGGAGAGTTGTTAGTCAGGAAACGCTTCTTACAGGCTCAAGGGAAGGAGAAGAGGCGCTGTTCAAGGTAAGACGATGCTCGTTGGTTCACTGTCATGTTTCAAGAAGTAATTGTGAAGTTATGTTAAAGACGATGTCGTTGTAGATTTACATTGCATTACTGTATAGATGATAATAATAATAACAACAACAAATAGATAGATAGCCTATCATCTTAAGAAAGTTAGTTATTATTTAAGTGTTGGTATGTTTAAATTAAATTAAAGTAAAAAGGTTGATACATTTGATATACAGGCCTAGTTTCCGTTAATCATTTTGTTTGACTAAATTAAGAGTTAGTTCATTTTGACATTTTTAGAGCCGAACAGTTCACAAGTAGGCTACTTCAGTTTAAAAATGTTGTTTTTTTTACATTACACAAAATGTTAAATAGTCGTGTACGGTGTTTTATTTTATATAGGCCTAAACGTTTTAGTTATTTTCCTCTTATTTGAAAAACAAAACAAAACAAAACAAAACTAGGCTAAAGGTTTGAAAACGGCTATACAGTAAAACAATAACTAATGCTCAAATGTATAGCCTCGTGTCAGTGCGGGTTATGTTTTTTCCTTTATTTGTAATTGGGTAATTGCATGACAATGTTATGTTGCACAAATGCGTTTTAGCATTTATTAAATAGGCTACTTTTTAAGCATAACATTAAATTCTTAAGCCTATTCAGAATTCGCATTTATTTTGATTTGTTCTCCAAAGAAGTGTTAAAGGGTTTAAAATACGTAACTATAGGCCTAATAGCACTGCAATTCCCCCCAAAGCCTAAATTATAATCTTTCCTGCTTGCCAAGAACGATCATCAGTCCAAATTTAAGTAGTTAAACTAATGGGATTATGAAGGAGGGTTAAATTCATTGGGGAAGGCGGATCATGAATAATTAAGATCGGTAATACTTTTTTATATCATAACCCTCAAACAACGATGTAAACCAATCTAAGTTGAGCACAGAGCAGGGCATGTGGCCAGTGGTGGGGACTAAATTATTGATGATCTACTGAAAGAGGCCTATAGGCCAGGAACTCATGTGTCATATAAGGAACAACCTATGGTGTGTTTCAGAGTAATGTTCAAAGAACTGTTGCTTCAGTTCAGGCTATTTGAGTTTTCATCACCGGTTTCCCATTAAAAAAATCGAAAGGGATGCAATTTGAAACCCATGAAACACCCATAGCCTATAATCAACTGAACACAGCTCTTTTTATTTGTTTCGTATAGGCAATCCTTAATAGAAATCCTCAAGAACTCTAAATGGATTGGAATAACGTTTTAGTAACTCGACAATTCAAGGAAATCGCAGGGGAACTAGCCTATAGCCTAATAGTGAATTCATGTAATTCGATTTCTTATTTCATACAGGGGCATTTGTTTGGGGAAATAAAAAAAAATAATAAAAAAATCTAACTATATATGGAAATTATGACTGACAATAGGACTACGTAAAGTATTAAAAAATATAGCAAAAACGCTTTTCAGGATGTTTTATAAATTCCAACAAAAAAACCTTCTACATTTCTAGATCTACAGAAGCGCGTGCGGAACCTTTTAATGTTCAAATTTAAGCAACAAACTCTAAAATGGCTATTTAAAGAACTATAGGCTACTTTTATATTTATGATAGCTAGCCTACTTGAGAACTTGGGTTTAGACATGCGTGTCTGAGAAAGACAGAGAGAGAAAGTGAATTCATGTTTTTATTTCAGAGCAAAGAAGATCTGACAGAATGAGGGTGGAGGTCTCCTGGAAGATGTAGCGAACCCCCTCTCCCTCTGCGGGACAAGCGGTTGTTCTCGGGCCGACACTCCGAGTCTCCGTACGAGAACGGCAGAGTTAAGGCACCGGGGCGTTAATTATTCATACAGCGCCAGCAGCAACATATGAGATGTAGCCAATGCGGAGGCAGACCGCGAACCCGATGTGCTTTATTAGTCCGTTCCTATCATCATCACACGCCAAGACACCTTAGGCATTTGCCCGCGGTGTCTCCACGCGATAACTCACAGGGTTATCCAAGGGGATACTGTTACCGGGAAACTTGAGGCCGTCCTTCAGAGGTGAATTTTGGGCGCGTCTTCAACGTTGTGTTAGAATCCCTTTGTAGCTCATACTTCAATGTCAAGCTCATCAAGGCGATTCGTAACTATTTTACGGTTTGGCGAATTGGTGGCTAATTAATTATTAAATTGCTTACTGGTGTCTCTTCATAGTTAGATAACCAACCCCCCCACCCAATCTTTTTTTTTCACGTTTCCTTAACAACCACATCGTATGCGTTAGGTCAGCCGAAATCGCCAAATCCTAAAATAGTTACTTATGAGATCGGGTTAGAATGTCACATTGTATGCTATGGTGTTTGCACTTATTTTTTTATTTTTTTTATTTTAAATAAAGAGCCCCATTGAATGTATCTGTTCTCGCGAAACTCGTAAGTTTTCTGTCAGCGGTGTATAATCAAACACATTTTCTTGAACACTATGCAGAACAGACAAACTAAAACAAACTAAAGTTTATATGTATAAATCAAGTATTTATGTAGCAAATGGGTTAACACCGTATGTAAAAAGTGTAAAATAATTACAACTATTTCTAACATTTAAAGTCATGAAAAGTTTCCATATTCTTTTAGTATTAATATGCATGGATAAATAATTTATGATAAATACTGCTATATTCCATTAAACATATATAAGAATTGTCCATTTTGTTTTCACGTTGACTTTAAATGAATGGAATGAGACCGACACAAATCATCTTACCAAATCATCTTACAGTTTAAATTAAACACAGAAGCCATTTGTTTTCAAGTGTTATTACGCAGGGTACTATTAAGATTATTTTTTAACTATTTAACTCACCAGAGCCTATAGGCCTTCAGCATGAAGGCTATGATTTTGTAATTTTTTTTAAGATTTTTTTTTTTAAGAAAAAGTTGTGTTGACAAAATGTTTGTGGAACCATATAAAAGTTTTTGGTACTTTATTTTAAGGTGCCATTACAGTGTACAGTTACAGTAATTATACTTTTAAATACCGAGTAATATTAATGTACTTATGGCTTAGGGTAGGATTAGGATTTGGTTGAGGGTTAGTTGCATGTAATTATGCATAACTTACTGTTATTACTACGGTAAGTACATGTAACATTTAATGGACACTGTAAAATAAAAAATAAAGTTTTTATTTAAAATATGTATTTTAAGGTAAGGACAGTGAGTGATAAAGTATTGTGAGTGATAATGTCATAATTTTGATAAAATAGAGAAAATCAAATCAAATAGTATTTGTGTGATTACATGCTAGTGATTATCTGGTATTAATTTCAAAGTAGAAATGATAATTATTATAAAACTATAAGGCAAAGCTATGGAAATGCTTTGTCAGATCAAAATTCAGTATACAAAATGCATGTAAGAACATTTTAATTTGATAAATATAATCAGTGTTGAGGGGTAACGCATTACAAGTAATGCGAGTTACATAACCCGATAATTTCTTTTCAAGTTACCACTAAAGTAACGTAATACTTTTTAAAATTTACAACAAAATATCTGAGTTAAAAAACCCCTGCAAACCTGTAATTATTACATGTTAAATAACACATATATACTTTATGTATTTAATCTCACTTTATTAATCAATGTCTCTGCTGCTGACCTTCGATGATCGAATTCAACCATATAAGCAAAAATGACTTTAGATTAACATCACATTTGTGTTTAATTTTTTTATTTAATTCACAGACACGAATTTGTATTTCCTTCAGCCTGAGACTTATTCATTTCCCTTTTGGTTTGGCGTGTTATTAAAAAACAAACAAGAAAGCCAAGCCCAGTGAGAAAAAGTTACGCAAAAGTAAAGAAATGCATTACTTTCCATCAAAAGTAACTAAGTTATGTAATTAGTTACTTTTTTTTTAGGGAGTAATGGATTATTGTAACACATAACTTTTAAAAGTAACTTTCACTAACTCTGAATATAATAGGATCATCCCTATCATATTTTAACGCTAAATGTATCAATGCAAGTCAAAGGGAGATTTTTAACTTCAATATTAAAATTGTATTATCATAAACCAAAACTGCAAATTCTGAAGCAATCTAGAAAATGTTTGCAAAGAGTCCTTGCGTAAGCTGAGAAGGACTTCAGAAGGACAAAAAGGAAATCCTTTTTGCTTACAATTGTAACATTTATTGCTACGTGCAATCCTGAATCACTTAATTCTGTGTCCTGGTGAGGAGTCAGGGGAATTGCATTAGCATATACCTGCTATGTGCAAAGACACTCGTGAGCGAGTCCAGGCTACGTGACACCAGGACTGTAATAGAGTTGACCCTGCGGCTGATAGGCACAGGTATCTGATCATTCGCGCCCCTTTAAGCGTGCTGGATTGTGGGACGTGTGCACACTTGGCTCTTGAATTGCCTTTGAATAATACATGCACCCATGCAGTGTGGTTATATATCGCTCCACATGTTCTCTTGAGCTCCCACTATGGGACACTGGTCTACATTTCACTGCTATGAGCACATGTAAAAGCAAGGGGGCGTATGTGCTATTGAACAGCAACACAATGACAATTTTGCACTTGAATAGAGCAAGTTGGTGGCACAATGTTAAGGTGTTGTGTTGGTTTCCAGGGCATTGCTACACATGGTTGCTTAAGTGTTCTGAAGTAACTAAGGCTTATTTTTTCCCACTAAAAGTAGCTCAGCTGGTTAAGTATAGCACTAGCAACTCCCAGGTCATGGGTTTGATCCCCAGGGAACACACATACTGATACAATGTTACAACTGTGAATTTAGCTGCATAAAGCAACACTAAAGCCATATCAGGTGTGATTGTTTTCTATACAATATCAGTATGTAAACTGTAGATAAAAAAAAAAAAAATTAATAGCACCGTTGTTTGCATTCTAGATTGAATACTATATTCTAGAATTTGATCAGTGTATCAAAGCTTCTGTGATCCATTTCACATGATATTATATGTCCTCTGGAACACAGACAACACCCTCAAGAAAAAATACACTAATCCCTTATTAACAGTGAACATATCATGAAATATTTAACAAGCATAAATTATGTATTGAATGAATAAATGAATGATTAATAGCTTTGTGCATAATTATTAATCAGTGTTAACCACCCAAAAAGGCATCTTTAGTCTTAATAAATACAAAGATTGCGGATTATATATGTATCACAATGATTTCTTTGAATAATTTTGCTGTTTTGTACACTCTTAGAAGAAAAGGTTCTGCATAAAACCTTAAAAAGGTTATTTTAGGCACTTCATATACAGATCCTTTTTTAATTTGAATTAAATTTCGCTGAAAGCTCGTAAAATACTTAAACACTACAAAAGATTGAAATAACAGTTAAACATGAAAGAATTATGTAATGGTTTAAGTCATTCCTCCTTAAGGCCAGTTCACAGTGCTCCGAACATAAAACCCTAGAGTCCTATATAGAAGCTTTTTTAAGAAGCATTATAAAAGTTCATTATTTTCACGAGTTAATTCAATAAAATAAAGACGCATGATACATAAATCAAATAGTTTCTTGTGTATTTTAGTATTTATTATATTGTACGGTCACCTTATCTATTACAGTAAAAAAAAAAAAAAAAAAAACACCTCAGTAATGCTCTATAAATTGATGTTTCAGTGCAAGTAAAAAAGATAGACATTTTTAAACCACTGAAAGAAATACTGCACAAAATCTGTACTTTACAAAATACATCAGAACATAATTTATTTAAGAATGATAAATACATTTTTGCAAATTTTCTTCAGGTACAGAATTATATAGACTACAGCTACAGTCAATGTAAACAAACTAATATGTTAATGAAGACAAAAAAAAATAAATACGATCTTTTATAAATTATTTTTTGCTGTATGCACTCTGGGCACATTTCCTGAGGCTTTTCAAGAAGTCATGCAGGATGACTTGAACTGAGTCTTTATCAGCAGGTTTGTCATCGCAGGTGGTCTGAAAGACAGCAAACGCCACGGTTATTCAACTCCGGTAGGGTGGACATATTGAACGGAAAAGACATCATGTTTCAGAGTTCAACTTACCCCATTGTTATACATATGTAAATCCCTCATTAGTGTCTTGTCAGTACGGAAATCATCATATTTATTGAGCCCAGAAACCTTCTTCAGTTCTCGCTCAGCCTTGCAGAACACATCCTGCAAAGATATTGACATCACAGATAAGACCAGGGCTCAAATCCTTTCAATTCAAATGTAAGCAGCACAAATACTTTAAATGACTCATAAACGTTCCCACATAAGAGACGAGCAAAAGTCCACAAAAACAATTTTCACAAACCTACAAAAGCTTCTCAGGCTCTGGCCATGAAATAAATATGCTGGAGTTGTTAACGTTACAGTTGTGAGTCAATGAATAGTCAACATCTCACCTCAGAGCACGTGACATCCATTTTCAGGTCTTCCAGGAAGATTTCTTTCCCCTAGAAATAACAGGTAAAATGAATATTGCAATCATGCTCTGGCTCAGTGTCTAAAGGTATAGACAGTTCTGGCTTACTGTAGTTACTATACTAAAGTTAAATCTTACCTTGTGCTCCACTGGGAGGTTTTTGATTGCGGCGCCAAGATTACGCAAAAGCTCTCCCAATAAAGTCTTTTCTTCTTTCACAGAAGTCTTTTCTTCTTTCGCAGGAGCACCGGAGACGACTACAGCGACAGCGAGCAGTAGAATAGTCTTCATCATGTTGTCTGTCTGCTTGGATTTCTCTAGACTTTGCTTGTTTGAAGGCCTGAGGTACTTGATTCCCTCTCTGCTGTACGCTGTGTATATATACACTCTCAAAAAGCCAAGACTTGGCTATGTAGGTTTTTTTTTTTTGCATCGTAAGCGAAGCGACGTTTATTGGCTGATTATAGCGCGCTCACTGAATATCTTGAGATGTGGTTGATAATGTTTGTCATATTGTCCTGATTTCCTGGAACTGACACTGACAAAATGCCAAGAAAGATCATAATGATTTTGAGTAACAGGCCTCTAGATGGGCTTCTGAAGGCCACATCTTCACTAAGTTTGCTTGTACAAATAAGTTTCATTATTGCAAAAACAATTGATCAATACTGATAGCGTTTGCTGCAAATCTGCATGTGTTCGTACTTGCAATTAGTCATACAGATAACAGCATCAAAGGTCCGAAGAATAAAAACTTCTAAAATCGAATTGTAACACGTTGGTTGGCTGAACTCAAATGTTAAAGACAATTTTAAAACATTATATAACATGAAAAAAAGTAGGATTACAAGTTAATTACCTTAAACTAATAACTTTTTAGTGAATGTATGAAGTCATTTCCCCTCATGTCGTAACTAGATTCATTAATTCTTCACAGTATATGTATTGTTTTATCATTTAAAACCTAATACACTAGATTTTGATAAAGGATTTTTTTTAAGCATTCAAATTAGGGCTGGGAATTTTTTTTGATTGTTGAGCATCAAAAATAAAAAGTGGCTGTAAAAAAATGGCGAAAGCACTGATCATTCCCATTTCCACCATCAGGGCAATAATTAAGAAGTTCCAATCAACTAAAGATGTTATGAATCTGTCAGGAAGAGGACGTGTGTCTGTATGGTCTTAATGCAGGGAGAGGAGGAGAGTTTGAGTGGCCAAAGACTCTCCAAGGATCACAGATGGAGAATTGCAGAGATTAGTTGAGTCTTGGGGGTCAGAAACATGTTGTTTGGGAGGGTTTCAAGAAAAAGACATACTCCTCGCTCATCCAAAAACCAACTGCATATCTCCTCCCCATATTCAGTGTTCAGGCACGACTGGAGCTTCAAAAGGGACCGGATTCTGTGGTCAGATGAAAAAAAAAAAAGCTTTTCGGCAGTAAACCCATTAGATGTGTTTGGTAAAACAGGGATAAAAGTATCCCATGTTCACGGTTAAATATACCGCTGGATCTTTAATGGTGTGGGCCTACTTTTTTTTCTGGAGGTCCTGGACATCTTTTTCAGATACATGGTATTATGGATTCAATCAAATACCAACAGATAAAAAATCGAAACGTGACGGCCACTGCTAGAAAACTTATAATGGGATGTGGCTGGAACCAAAACAAACATCAAAATCCACACAAAAATAGGTTCACATTTACCAAGGGTGCCAATAATTCTGACCATGACTGTATTTGCTGTTTAACGCATTAAAAAATAACTAACACAATTACCACAGCATCTGTTTTTTTATTAATATTAAAGTAGCTATGCTAATGTATTTCCCCCACATCCTTTGGCTAGTGTTACTAGATGTCATATGATCGATTCTCGCATAAACATATTGGCTAATTCTTCACAATTTTATTAGTTCACTTTGGTTAATGCATTAACTAACATTGAGCAATCCACTTAAGATATGTATTAACCTTTGTTAACTTTAGCTTAACTAAAAATATTGTTAAAATAACTGTTCATTGTTAGTTTGTGTTAGCTCAGGTCGATTAGTTAAAATTGACGGTTACAACTTTTATTTGTAAAGAATTTTTTTTTTGTTAGTTTGTGTTAACTAATGTAGTTAACAAATGTGAACAAATGGAACCTTGTTGTAAAGAGTTACCATAATATTGATACCAAATGTTTTTAACTAGTAATTTTAAATCCTTATTTATCATGAAAATAAATGACCACCAATTCACATAGAGCTGATAAAGAGAAAAACAGAACCAATAATACTATATATTAGGCACAACTAAATACACATTTATAATAGTTTATGTGAATATTGTTTTTAAGTTCACATAAATGTAAAAGTTGTTGTAATATTTTAATGTTCTGTAATTGTTATTAAATGATAAATAAAAACATTCAGTTAATTTGCAATTTAGTTCTGTTTTAAATGATAGCCTACTGCAATGATGAATGGATATAATTATTTTATGCACAGAACTCCAATTAGTAAAAAAATCCAATTAGTAGAGGCATCATAATTGTCAGCAGCCATATCATCGGTAGCCCAAGATTTCCCACTTAAGCTGAGCAGGGTTGAGTCTGTCAGTACCTGGATGGGAGACTCCTGGGAAAACCATGTTGAGGCCAGCAGGGGGCGCTCCTCACCCTGTGGTCTGTGTGGGTCCTAACGCCCCAGTATAGTGATGGGGACACTAGACTGTCCTTCGGATGAGACGTTAAACCGAGGTCCCGACTCTCTGTGGTCATTAAAAATCCCATGGCACTTCTCGTAAAGAGTAGGGGTGTTACCCTGGTGTCTTGGCCAAAATCCCTCCATTGGCCTTTATCAAAAATGGCCTCCTAATAATCCCCATCCACTGAATTGGCTCGATTACTCGCTCTCCTCCCACCTATAGCTGGTGTGCGGTGTGCGCACTAGCGCCGTCACATCATCCAAGTGGATGCTGCACACTGCTGGTGGTTGAGGAGACACTCCTGATATGATTGTAAAGCGCTTTGGGTGTACAGCAGTATATAGTAAAGTGCAATATAAATGCCAGTATTGGTATCAGTGATACTAATCTTAATTACTAAAAAGATTCCATTAAACAAACATCGAAACATATTTTACATACAGTCTACAGTTATGTTGTTTCCACATTTATTTATCACATTGATTTAATGTGAAAATATATTGATGATGGCGCAATTACTCGGGATTAATTACAGAAGACTTACTTCTTTTTTTTTTTTTTTTTTTTTTTTTAATCAATCGACAGTCCTAATCCAAATATTGTTGATGCCACTATTACAGATCATGACGTGAGGTCACAAATAATTAGATCATGATTCAGAAATTAGAACAAGAAAATATCTTTTTAATATTTCAGAAGGCGGCAACTAAATGTACAAACTAATATAAGTAAAGTTGAATCACATTGTCCCTTGCATGAAACAGAACAAATTTGTGTGTAAATTTTTACGCAAAACCATTCTTATGTAAATGGTTGCATTCATTTTAACTCGACAATTAAAGCATGTATGGTTATGTGGATATTTCACCGCTAGGTGCTTAGATTTGGCCCAGATTTGGTACATGGAGACTGATATGCCTTATGTTTAGATCATGCTAATCAACTGTCTAATGAATTGAACTTTGATTCTATGTCACCTCTGAATATAGACTAACAGTCTTTCTTCGCTCATCTGATCTGAGGCATCAGTGCAGGTAGGAGTTGAGTGTGTTGATACTGCACTTTGTGATTTCCGAGCACTGGTCCTGGTTCTTCCTGATCCTGTAGAAATGCTCCACATAGTTGGATCGTCCCAGGAGCTCGACAAAATCCTCGTCGTGAGTGATAACAAGCAGCTGGAAGTTGCGTTGGCGAGAACGACTCTTGATTATCCTGCAAAGAAACCAATGGCACATCTTTTAGTTGGTCAAAGTGTAAAATGGCAAATAGAAGTTTTGTTTTGCCATGTTGCTCTTGCTGTAAATAAATTGTGTTCTCTGTTTAAAGACAGGCTGTATTTATGGTTTTGTTTTAATAAAGACTCACTCCACCAGTGCGTGTGCCAAGGACTCTATATTCTCTCTGTCTAAATTGGTGGTGGGCTCATCCAGCGCCAGAATCCCACAGTTCAGACAGAACGTCTCAGCCAGAGCCAACCGTATTATGAGGGAGGCCAGAACCTACAGACAAACATGCAGTAAACATTTAAATGGGAACCTTGGGAGATTCTAAGAGAGATTGAATTTTTTTCACTGGAGTTATAGAGAAACACAAGATAAACAGCTGCTTTTTGACCTTTTGTCCAGCACTGCAACGTCCCCGCATGTCCAAAGCTGTGTCTCCTTTGACCATTACCACTCTATAGTTGTAAGTCCTTCTTTTCAGGCCGGCAGAGGCATTCTCATCCACATCAGAGCGAATCTCTACGTACTCAATGTCTGTGGGAGATCAGGAGACACACTTATGGTAACAGGTCACTACACAGTCAAAACAAAAATTATTCAGACACCAGATATAATTTTTTTTACTAGTGGGTGCAGGACACTTTAGTTCATTTATGTAGTTCATTTATGTAAGTGAGGAGAGCAAAATAAAGCAAACTGTAACATATTATACCCCAAAACTCTTCATACAGTGGACTACCAATACAATTTATAAAAATTTGGGACCAAAAATTATTCAGACACTTTGATATGACCATATTTTGCTTAAGTGTTTTTTTTTTTTATTGCTAATGAGGCCTTTTTACACCACAGACTGAACAAAATGAAGCATTGCTTAATTAGTTGACCTAAATTGGTATTATTTACTTAAAATTCAACCTAATTCATTTGTGAGAGTCTAACAGAAGGATGGCCAGCACCAGTAAAAAATCAACTTGAGTTGTAGTCATATTTTATTACCATTTTACTATATAAATGTGTGATAATGTGAGAAATGTTGAAGGTGTCTGAATACATTTTCGTTTGACTGTATATAATACGTCTCAAAACAATCAAACAAAGATTTGACAGCTTATCAAGATTCATGAAAACAAAGCTATAAGTGCAGACAAACATTTGTGTGTAAAGGCAGACCTTGTCCCCTGTATGTGCTCCGCCATAAATCTCTGATGATTTTATTAATCTCCTCCATCTTCATGCTGTGAAACTTCATTATTGTTCTGTAATAAAAATAAATAGCTTAATGAATATTCATATATACTAGGGATGCATGATTTATCCGTTTTGAATCAATTACCAATATTATTAAATAATATTAGAGATTTAAAAAAAACAAATTGGTATCTGACGATATTGGTTATTGTGCATGCTAGGCTTGCTGCAGTATTCTGTGTTATTCAGTGTTACACAGTGTTCGGCCGTACACCGATTACATTACTTGGCCACCAAGGCACCTCCCCCACTGTCGTTTTGCTTTTTTATTTAAATAAAAAACATTTATTTCAGTTGGACAACAGATGCTACAATTATAAACTGAAAGCGTTTTCTCTGCTCCATACAGCACAAGCTGCAGATTTCACTGATCACATGACGAGAGTAAGGAGAGATGATTGACAGGACGATGGCGGAGATCCTGAGTGTCATTGACAAATATCTTGTAAAATGTGCTGCCGCTCCCTATACACAGATCGTGAATTCGAAATGAAAAGCTACACACTCCATCAAATTAGGGTTAGAAGAACGGTTCCTAAACATATAACTAGATATATGTTAGAAACATAATGATCACTGCAATAATGATTAATGATCAAGTCAAAGGCTCTTTATTTTCCTATTTAAATCCAAACACCAACTTTTTTCTGGCTGGGCAGTAATGTAATGTAATGTACACACACACAACTATAACAACTGTTAATTTTTGTGAGGAGCAAAGCCCTTCTACAACATTCTCCTTTATTCCAAAGCATTAAGTGGCATTTAACAGTGAAGTAGCTCACCAATACCAGCAGCTAAAAAGGCTTGCCACAAAACAAAACTTCTTCAATCATTGCTTCACTGTTTGAATGAATGAATAACTGAATCTAGAGATGCATTTATTATTATATTCCTCACCAGATTTTTGAATAAACCGCTCTGGATTTCACAAAATCTGAGAAAATACTGTCATTTTGACCATTAGGTTTTTTCTTACCCATTTATTAGAATTGATATTAGGTGAAATCTTGCATCTCAACATGCTGTGTCATATCAGATTGCCACACTTCCTCTAACTCTTCTGCACAGTCAGCAATGATGGTATCATGGTGAGAAGAGAAGAACGGGTCAGCTGGTTTGATGTGTGGCTCAATATTTCATTAGAAGAAAACTGCTTTACCAGCCTACACCCAATCCACGGCCAAGAAAGCAGAATACTATGGACAGCTGTCTGTGTAAAGTCTCCATTTGATCAGCTATAGAGAATATAAGTGACGTCACATGCATAAACCCAATTCTCAGCCTTGGCAAGTTTCCAATCAATCTACTGAAGAGACAGTACTTGGTAGTTATAGAGACTTACAGCAGTTAGGTTTGGTTTTTCGTACCAGTGGTCGACCAACATGAGTTTTCCAAAGACCATTGGTACGAAAGAATCTGGTTGAAAACTAATCGGTTACCTAATGTAACCTCGGTTCTCTCTAGATGAGGGAACGAGTATTGCGTAAGCTAGCTTACGCTATGGGGAAAGATTCATCTTTTCTGAAATATTGAAGCCAAAAAATTATCCTTAATTTTGTATCCATTGTCAACGCAGTGCAGCAGCTGCAGACCTTGAGCGGGCTAGCTAGCGAAACCCCACATGTCCGTGGGTCGAGATCTCTGTCGGTGCACCATTTTAAAAACAGACCATTTGGAGTAGAGTGTTCTCGTGGAAGGAGTCTAGCGTGTATGATAGTGTTCATAACTCCCTCTGGCAAAGCGTCGGGTAGTCGTTGATCACCCACGCGTGCAGCGCCCAGCGCTCTGGGTGGGGATGCCAGATTGTGCCGCGAGCTTGAGAGAGGAGATCTGTTCTCACTGGAATGGGCCACGGGGCTGTCAGTGACAGCTGCGTAAGCTCCGGAAACCATGTCTGATTCTCCCAGCGCGGGGCTATGAGGAGCACCGAGCAGCGCGTTTCCCTGATCCTCTGCATTACCTGTGGCAATAGCGAGACGGGAGGGAAGGCGTAAAGCGGGCGGTTGGGCCAGTCCTGGGCCAGCGCGTCCTCGCTTTTCGAGAAAAATACTGGGCAGTGAGAGTTCTCCTCTGACGCAAAGAGGTCTATCTCTGCTCTGCCGAATAGGCGCCATAACATCTGGACTGTTAGAGCGTGCAGAGACCATTCTTTCTCGTCTTTCTCGAGCGAGACTCGAGGGAGAGGCTCCGGCGAGACAGTCGCTTCCAGCACCGGTTCCGGCGGCCTTTGGGAGCAGCGCGACGGCTTCGGCTTTGAACACTTCGAGTCGAGCCCGCAGGGTCGACATCGGAAGCTCCTCGCAGAGGTCGTATCCGCCGTCAGCGAGAGCGAGCTCTGCGTGTTCCAGTCCCAGGCAGAGAGCGCAGATGAGGTGGCGGTCTCCGGCGCTGAGAGGGGCGCGGCATGAGCCGCAGGTGGTGCGAGGCATCTTTACAAAGACGCTCGTGCTCTTTTGTGAAGTTCACTGAGGAACTAGCTAGCTCTAAAAAGGATACGTCACCGGATGGCGTAGCTTGCCGGATGGCTGAAGGTGGCGAAGACGGCCGGAGATGAAAATCAGGGATGCAGCCTGCGAACCTCGCTAATATACTCTCTAGCCACGCCCAGTTTGGCGGGCTATGACGGGATGAAGGCGCGAGCGCCTCTCATTGGACACGAGTTCATTCAGTTCGTCTATAGGCTGCAGCAGTTGCTGCAGAGCGACCAATGAGCTCGCTAGCTAGCCCGCTCAAGGTCTGCAGCTGCTGCACTGCGTTGACAATGGATACAAAATTAAGGATAATTTTTTGGCTTCAATATTTCAGAAAAGATGAATCTTTCCCCGTAGCGTAAGCTAGCTTACGCAATACGAGAGAACCTCTCGTAAGAGAACAATGTTGTGTACCAGTATATTGGATCCGTGCATACGCTCTTAAAGTGTCAGCAGCCTAACAAACCTAAAAAAAGGTTTATAGGGCTGCTGTCATGTTAATCAAAGAACAGAAGACAAAGAGAAAACCACTCACTGCTCTTAACTGAATAACTTTTATAACTTTGATTGTATGTAACAATCTGTTTTTAATTTTTACAATGGAAACTATCCAGTGTTATTTTACACATGATTACTGTGGCGAGGGGCCGTGGTTTTGCGAAGTCTGTAGCGGGAGAGAAAGGAGGGAGCTGCGCGGTGAGTAAGTAGGTCAAGTGCAGATGATGAACACCTGTGTCTGATTGCAGTAACTGGCGTGGAGAGACCGCATATAAGCCGGCGGGAACGAGAGAGCGGGAGAGACTCGCGACTACACAACACGTGAACTGAGAGCTGGTACAGCGGGAAGAGTGTTTGTGCGTCGTGAACTGAGAGCTGGTACAGCGGAAAGTGTTCATCTAAGTGAATTGTGAGCTGATTCTCTCTCTCCCGCCAGCTTATATGCGGTCTCTCCACGCCAATTACTGCAATCAGACACAGGTGTTCATCATCTGCACTTGACCTACTTACTCACCGCGCGGCTCCCTCCTTTCTCTCCCGCTACAGACTTCGCAAAACCACGCCCCCCCTTGCCTAAATTACTTTTAGATACTTTTTAGTATTTCATTCCGGAATACTACTGTTAGATCCACCTGAAAAACTTAAATCCATGTTTATTTCATTTGTCTATTTATTCTATTGTATTTATTTGTCCTATCATTTGCAATTTGTTTATTTATTCTTATTTTATTACTGACTGTTTACTTGTCTTTTTTAAAATAAATGCAGTTCAACGATTCAAATAAAGCGTGTGTAAGCTATTACACAAAATACCCCAATTATCCAAAAATGATGAGAACAAATGATCTGTGTGGTGGTATATGGTAGATGGTTTTCCCTGTGGTATCAAAAATGGTATTGAATATGTTTTAAGGTATTGTACCAAATTCCAGTATCATGACACATTACTACTACATGGTATATTTTGTTATTGATTAATCAGCAATTATCAGTTGTATCAATGTATTACAAGCTTTGGTAATACAATAAAAGTTTTCTTACTTGCAGATCAATACATATTAAGTGTCTGCTTAATCTTCCATACAGACTAGTGCTGACTAGTGTTAATGTTAATTTCAACATTTACCAACATTATTAAAATAAAAAATTGTATTTGTTAACATTAGTTAATGCACTGTGAGGTAACACAAACAATGCACAGCTGTATTTTATATTTACAAATATAGTAACGAATGTATTGTTCATGTTAGGTAATAGATTAACTAATGTTAACAAATTAAACCTTATTGTAAAGTGTTACACATTTATCTTGTTTGGTTGTGCATATATAATATTAAAAGTAGTCGACAAACAAAATGGGGGTAAACAAATCTCTTATTTTATGCAATATTTACTGAAGATTTTTATTTTTTTATTTAATGATAAGCCATATCCGGTCGGTGTTTGCTAGAAGGAATATGACAAACCCTGAAACAATCTGTCGTGGTTTTAAGAGAGTTGCACAATGCACTACTTGCACAACTACTTCCGCGTTCTACTTATTACATATCGGGAGTTTCCGGTTAGAGTGTTCATCGCACTTCCATACATGAGAATGCAGATTATCACAACGTTTTATGGATGCCAATTGATTAAAACAATGAATAATGATCTCTGTATTAATTATCTTGAGCCTGCTGAAATGTTCCTATAAATATATTTTCTTTCCAACTGTTACATTCTGAACAATAAATATATATTTATTCACTAACCTGCAGCAGTCCTGTCTTCTCATTAACAGTATTTTTCTCTTAGCCTACTTATATTCTATACCTGATGAGTTCACATTTTTTAATGAATTTGACTAATAAAAAGTATTTCTTGTGTGCATTGGTGCTTTATTCCTGTCTTTTTAAAATAGTTGAATGAATGAATACTCGCGAGGTGCCTACGATCAGAAAAATCAGAACCGCACGCAGTGTAGAGGAGAATGACAGTCAACTTCTTTGAATATTAATTAAGCAATTTGGGCATGAACATGTAAATAGTAAAACGATTGACATTGAAAAATGACACTTAATGATTACAATATTTAATCCAAATAAATAAATGTTCGTGGTTCGTACTGATGTTATTCATCTGTTCTCACAAATTTCAGCGTCGCGGTCACTAGTTTAGACGAACACTGACACCCTGTGGTGAAATAATGGCGTATTTTTAACAGCCGCAGCTTTCTCAGATTGGCTTGGATTGGATTAAACTTAATGTTCCGATGAGTTTTGAAAATTCTGCACACAGTAAACATCAGATCATCCCTTCTTCTGTCAATAAAAAAGTCCAAAATATAAAATATTATTATAGACACTTTTTTTAGTTGTCGTTTGTTCAACTTATTGACCACAGTACATTGAAAGTAAACATAACCGGAAATAAGTGATATGTATTGTTTCCAAACGGAAGTGCGTCACGAAGTTCAGTGCAAGTGGTCCATTAGGCCTAAAAACTGCTATTTCTGGTGGAAACTGAATACAGTCTAAAACAGAGATTATGCAATAAATGCTGTTGATTTATTGATTTATCACAATTGAGCAGTAATGAGTACCACTATAGCTACTGTGTCTCAAGTACTGATTATTCCATTTTTGGAGTGAAATGACTTTACTGTCAACTGTGATCTATTATAAAGTAAAGAAAAGTCATTGACAATTTAAACTTAATATCTTAAAGAATAAGAATAATAAATTGAAGATTAACGGTTACAAAGTCTGGATAACGCCTCTGCACTGTAGATAGGCAGATGACGGCAGAACAATTCAGACAACCACAGGCCTGCTGATGTAACTTCTTTGAAGACACAGGACGATACGATCTAAACCAAAGATAATGATTTGTGACTTCCTCTGTATATTCCTCAACAGACACCAGCAACATCATTTTGGCCACCATTTTTAATAATAATAATAATGCTTAATTATTGCTGAAATTGTAAATTTGTGCAGAACAGAGACCAATGAAAATGAGCTCAAATTTGGACGAGGCCAATGAATGTAAATTGTACAAATATCTAGTAAGAGTTGTCAGTGTTTGTGTCTCGAACCACTTATCCAGTGTGTTCATGCAGGAGAGAATCAACATTCAAATATTATCTGAACCAGTATAGTTCCACAAGGACCTGAGTTTAGTGGTAGTACTAGTCCCACAATTGTGTGGAAAAATATCATATGCAAGTGTATTTGCCCATGTGACATCACAGACCCCTGTAATATCCTAACAAACTGCTTTTGTAGCTCGGTTAAATGCTTTTGTTTTAATTAGGAGGATGTTTTAACAACTTCTAGGGTATTGTAATGGTAAAAAGAACTCTTATGTGTCAAAAGTTTGATTTCTCATGTTATGAGCCCTTTAAAGTACAATAACAATCTAAGGCATTTCCTGCAAATAAAATGATGCTTTCTTTTTTATTATTTCTCTGCATTTTTACCCATGTTGTAGCTTACTCTAACTTTACTGGGTATTGCAGTGATTATTTTTTGCTCTTGTATGAAAAATTGCTTTCTTAGTAGTTTCTGAATAAATATACAAAAATGTGTATATTGTATATACATATATTTTGTATATATTACTAAATAACTTTACTTATACTATCAACACCTAAACATGGCAAGATAACCATTGCTATGGTTATAACATAGTAAGCGTTTAAACATCTTTTTGGGGAGTCCCTGTGATATTAAGCCCACCATTTAGTGATGATTCAACTGCGCCATTAGTGCTAAAAGTTGAGTCAGACTTCCTTCAGTCTAGGTAATCTCACACGTGGCCTGTTGCTGATTGTTGCTTATTGCTGTATGCCGAACCACATCAAAACCACACCTACACACTGACAAACCGCTACCTGAAATTACCCTTTAGAAAACCCCTGATAACAAAACCTACTTACTGGTCTAGGGCTTTATAGTAGATGTCCAGGTCCTTATTGGCCAACTCTGTTGTTCTCATGACAATCATTCTGTCTCTGTAGAGATCCTCAGCCCGGCTATAATGATCTTCATTGAGCTCTTTACGAAAACGAAGGATCTCGTCCTCGTAGCCTTTCTGTCGACCGACAGCCACACTGCGGTTCTTTTTCAGGTCATCCAACTTTCGCTCCACTTCTCGCCGCTCACTTGACAACAGAAGATACACTCTTTAAGATACACACTCATTTGAACTCTCACCCTTTGTAAACATTAAAACAAACTAGTTGACATTAAAGTGGTTAGGAGCAAAATCTAAGAGTTAGTGAGAGAGATTCATTTAGAGTTATGGTAACCAAAGAACATACTCAGCATATAGAAAGTGTCGAACATTGTCAGGACTTCCTAACTGGCACTTGGTAGCTGTATATAAGAGGTATAAGTGATCTCATACTTGCGCAACTGCACGACTTGCATGTTTCCCATCTCCTTAAGCAAAGCCTCACGTTTTCTAGACACATCTTTCAGCTCCTCCACACGCTTCCGTAAGGTCAAGTTATCTTGTAGCCAGCGTTCTTGAACCTGTTAAAAATCACACAATCATATATCCTCATTAAAAATGGAAAAAAGAAAAACATGCTTTCTTTTTTAGGAAAAACAGACAAGTAAGCACATTGCGACAACACATGCTTTCAGACAAGTGTGCGCAGGTGGTTCTCTTACGAGAGTACTCTTGTACTGCGTAATATCTTACGCTACGGGGAAAACCTCTTTTCCACGAGATATTGAAGCCAAAAAATTATCCTTAATTATCCTGCCCGCCAAAGCTCGCCGGTTCGCCCGCCAGCTTCGCCGGCATCGCTCGAATCACTCACAGATGGACAGCGGCCGCCGTCTGCCACCGCTTCTGCCATTGAGTGTCATCAGACAGCGAGGACTGGGCGAGCTCTGTAGACCTCCCCCCCGCTACCCGCCAGCCGCCTGGGAAACGAGCCGGCATTGAAGCTGAGCTGATGCGTCTGCTCTCTCAAGCCGTCGACAACCTCGGCCTCGACTGGGAGGCGCCCGCTCAGCCTGCGCATTACCAGCTTGATGGTTGCTTCCTTCAGAAGGACTCCGCCCCATCTCAGTCAAGACCCGCGCCTTTTCTTCCTGAGCTTCACGAAGAAGTCACGAAGTCGTGGAACGCCCCCTTCTCGGCCAGAATGCATACCTCTGTCTCTGCAGCATTCTCCTCTGTGGACGGTGTGAAAGATAAAGGATACCTCTCTCTTCCTCCAGTGGAAGCAGCGGTAGCGTCCCATCTTTGTCCGCCCTCCGTTGGACGGCGTGCTTTGACGGCGCTACCCTCTAAAGCCTGCCGAGTGACGTCAGCCATGCACGGCCGCGCTTACACCGCCGCTGGGCAAGCTGTGTCAGCGCTACATTCTATGGCGATACTGCAGATATTCCAAGCCGACCTTCTCCGTAAAATGGACGAGGAAGGACCGGGAGCTATCTGCGTGGCGGACCTAAGAAGCGCTATGGACCTCGCTCTACGCGCTGCAAAAGCCGCCGCACAAGCCGTTGGGCGCAACATGGCCTCTCTCACCGTGGCTGAGAGACATTTGTGGCTAACGCTGTCTGAGATGACGGATGCTGAGCGCTCTGTGTTCCTCGACGCGCCCATTTCCATAGAGGGCCTTTTCGGATCTGCCGTCAAAGACTTCACGGACAGATGTGCAGAAAACTCGCCGAGGTGCAGAAAACTTCACAGGCTATGAAGCACTTCCTGCCGAAGCACTCTAGTTCCGCAGCAGGCCGCTCTAAATAGCCGTCTGCCCGGGGCTCTCAGCCGCAGCCTGCACCACCAGCCGCCGCCGCTTCTCAGCGCCGCCAGGCCCGAGACCAAAGACCGCGCTCTCGCTCTGCTGGACGCCGCCCCCCTAAGCGCGGGCCCCGGCCGAGAATCGAAATCAAGCCCGAGGTCTCAAAGCCTTCCTAGCCACTCTAGGAAAGTGTCGGTGTTCAAATCCCGTCGCGGCCAGATTTTCACCGAAACTTCTCGCTCGCTCAGTTCCAGACAATGCGACTGTTCCAGCGTACTTCGCAGTAAACAAGCATGTTCCACAACCTGCTTGCCTGCACACAAAAGCCGTTTTTACGGCTACCCAGATAAATCCAATAAAGAGTGTATTTTCTGGTGTCCCGGCCATATCCGATGGTGTTATGAGTGTTGTAAGAATGCCCACGTCTCAGTGCCCATTCCCACACACAGACACAGCCCGCCACAATGCAGGGCTAGCACAAATAAAATCGACTCATGTCGATTGTGCATAAATGTAGTGTACGTGCCCACAACACAGTGCCCACAAACACTACGCAAAGCATGTCCCACGGTTTCTGTAAAAACGAAACCAACACATTCTCAGTCGGCGCGAGCCGACAGTGTTATAAGTGCAGTAAGTGTGCCCGCTACCCCGCGCCCAGATTCCCTCACAGGCATGCCGAACCCTACGGGGCTTGTCCCGCTCGCATTCTCTCCACAACATGTCAGAGAGAGAAGCTGAGCGTGGCCGGGCTGCCTGCTGTGATCAGCGCACCCCCCGCCTCGCACACTGTAAACACAGTGTTTATTTCCCAGCACACCGGAGCTCTCCGGCCGCCGTTTATGTCGCGGCCAGAGCCCAGATTTCATTCTACCTCTAGCTATTCATGCAGATGCGTGGGCAAAGTTTCCCGGGGTATCAGAATGGGTGCTGAAGACTATAATAAGAGGCTATTCGCTACAGTTCGCTCGTCGCCCCCGCTGTTGCGCGGCGCGAGTCGAAACGACGGTAAAAGACGAAGTATCTCATCTACTTCGAGCCGAGATAGCGAAACTACTGAGCAAAGGGGCTATAGAACCTTTATCTCAGGCTCAGAGCAAAGGGGGTCTTTACAGCAGGTATTTTCTGGTACCGAAAAAAGACGGGGGTCTCAGACCCATTCTAGATCTGCGACAGCTGAACAGAGCGCTCGCGAAGCGCCAGTTCAGAATGATTACAACCAGGAAAATCCTTGCGCAAGTTCGCCAGGACGACTGGTTTATGTCAATAGATCTGAAAGACGCATATTTTCAAATACAAATAGCGTCGCGTCACAGGCGATTCTTGAGATTCGCCTTCTAGGGCCAGGCATACCAATACAAAGTCCTGCCGTTCGGCCTGTCCTTGGCACCCCGTACATTTACGAAGTGCATGGACGCGGCTCTCGCACCCCTGAGACTCCAGGGCATGCGAATTTTGAACTACTTGGACGATTGGCTGATTCTAGCTCGATCACGATCAGAGCTCATAGAACACAGGACCACATTACTCGGGCATCTCGAGAATTTGGGGCTCAGTCAATTGGGCGAAAAGTTTGCTGTCTCCCAGCCAGAAAATCTCTTTTCTGGGAACAGTGCTGGACTTGCTATCCATGACAGCGCGCCTGTCGCCAGAGCGCGAGTTGGACATTCAGCGCGCCGTGAAATCCTTCCGCCGCGGCTCTAACGCTTCAGAAAATGCTGGGCCTCATGGCCTCAGCAGCTTCAGTGCTCCAGCTGGGTCTGCTTCGCATGCGCCCACTGCAGCTGTGGCTAAAAGCGTGAGTTCCTCCCCGGGCATGGACCACTGGCCGGTTTCGCCTCCGGGTCGATCTGGAATGCGTTTCAGCTCTGGAACCATGGAAAGTAACCGACTGGTATCAGTCAGGTGTGAGTCTGGGGACTCCCTCGAGTGTGAAGGTGGTGTCCACGGACGCCTCCACCTCGGGATGGGGAGCGCTGCTCGAGGGCAGACCGTTCTTTGGCCAGTGGTCAGAACGGGAAAAACTCCTACATATAAACTGTCTGGAAATGATGGCAGTCGACAATGCGCTACGGCGCTTCTGTCCCCAGATAAAGGGTCACCACGTCTTGGTCCGTTCAGACAACATGTCAGTGGTGGCATACATAAATCACCAGGGCGGCATCAAGTCCCGAAACCTTTGCAGGCTAACGGAACGCCTCCTGGTCTGGGCTCAGCACAACCTGCTTTCACTGAGAGCGGCGCATGTGCCTGGTCACCTGAATCTGGGACCAAACAGACTGTCCAGAAACAATGTCCCAGCAGGGGAATGGTCGCTGCACCCGCAGACGATCCAACTGCTGTGGGAGACATTCGGCAAAGCGCAGGTGGACCTGTTCGCGTCCCACGAGAACGCTCACTGCCCGAAATATTTCTCCAAGAGCGAGGACGCGCTGGCCCACGTCTGTCCCCGCTGTCCCCTCTATGCTTTTCCTCCCGTCTCGCTCCTGCCTCAAGTGCTGGAACGAATCAGGGAAAGCAGATGCCCAGTGCTGCTTGTGGCTCCGCTCTGGCCGAACCAGGCTTGGTTCCCAGTCCTGATGCGGCTGACCAGCACTGCCCCGTGGCCAATACCGTTGAGGAAAGACCTCCTCTCTCAGGCCAAGGGCAGACGGCTTTACTCCGCGAAATGGTCTGTGCTCTCTACCTGGTGTCAAGCTCAGGGCTTTTCACCCGTAGACTGCGGGGTCACGGAAGTACTTTTCTTCCTTCAAGAGCTGCTGGATAAGGGCAGGACCCCATCCACGCTCAAAGTGTACGTGGTGGCCATAACAGCGTTTGCAAAACCTGTGTCTGGCCAGTCACTGGGGAAAAACGACCTGGTCGTGCGATTCCTCAAGGGAGCTCGGAGGCTGAACCCTCCTAGACCTCCTTCAGTCCCGGAGTGGGACCTTTCTACGGTTCTGGAAGCCATGAAAGGTGCCCCGTTCGAGCCAATCCATTTGTCAGACATGAAGCATCTGTCTTTCAAAACGGTGTTTCTTTTGTCTCTCGCTTCAGTGAAGCGCAAAGGGGACTTACAAGCGCTTTCAGTAACCGCGTCATGTATGGAGTTTGGGCCTAATGACTCAAAAGTCATACTCAAACCAAGAATCAGGGAAAGCAGATGCCCAGTGCTGCTTGTGGCTCCGCTCTGGCCGAACCAGGCTTGGTTCCCAGTCCTGATGCGGCTGACCAGCACTGCCCCGTGGCCAATACCGTTGAGGAAAGACCTCCTCTCTCAGGCCAAGGGCAGACGGCTTTACTCCGCGAAATGGTCTGTGTTCTCTACCTGGTCTCAAGCTCAGGGCTTTTCACCCATAGACTGCGGGGTCACCGAAGTACTTTTCTTCCTTCAAGAGCTGCTGGATAAGGGCAGGACCCCATCCACGCTCAAAGTGTACGTGGTGGCCATAACAGCGTTTGCAAAACCTGTGTCTGGCCAGTCACTGGGGAAAAACGACCTGGTCGTGCGATTCCTCAAGAGAGCTCGAAGGCTGAACCCTCCTAGACCTCCTTCAGTCCCGGAGTGGGACCTTTCTACGGTTCTGGAAGCCATGAAAGGTGCCCCGTTCGAGCCAATCCATTTGTCAGACATGAAGCATCTGTCTTTCAAAACGGTGTTTCTTTTGGCTCTCGCTTCAGTGAAGCGCAAAGGGGACTTACAAGCGCTTTCAGTAACCACGTCATGTATGGAGTTTGGGCCTAATGACTCAAAAGTCATACTCAAACCAAGGCACGGGTACGTACCCAAAT